GGCTCACATGCGCATGGCCCTCCTGTCTTAGCATGGTGGTGCTTTTCAGCTTCTCATGACTGACTGTCTCAGCACATAGGCTCACGGCCTTCTGCCCACTGACTGAGAATCAGATAAAATGTTCTTTCCACCCCAGTACCTACTATTCATATTTATTATGTTGAATCATATGAAATTCCATTTGGGGAAACAAAAAGTCAAATAACTCTTTTATGCGGTACCTAACTTAAATAATTATAGTTATTTTAATAACTCTAAAGCAAAGAAAGCCATAAATCACAGGAGCAATGTATCTTTAAGTAAAACAAATCTTGGCATACAATACGGTCAGATGAATGCTCTATGGTATGGTATGTTAGATACTGACATTATGGAGATGGGGTAGGGGTAAGCAGAGACAGAGATCATAAATAAAGCACAGAATATAAGTGAGCAAGTGCAGAGATAAGCACGTGTAGCAGGACTTAGGGGAGTACCACAAATGAAGACCATTTCTGCTAGTGAACTTTATGCAGACATTCCTGAGGAGGTAGCAAGTGCTTAGAGCAGCAAGAAATCCAATGGAGGTCTAGGCAGACAGTTATATTGGCTTATATCAGAATATTTTTGCTAGTAAGTGATAGAAATCTAACTTACCTGTTACTGTCCCCTTCCTCAAGCCAGTCCAGAACCACACCCAACCCAGGGCATAATGACAAGGAGAGGCCAACCCAGAAGGAGGGGCACTGGTTAAGTAAAAGTGGTTGAGCAAATTGGCTCCCCACATCTAATACCACGTGAAAGAGAAGATAGGGCCTGATCAGAGACCTGTGCATGGCCACTGTCACTGGACAAGGCATTGACCTATATGAGAGCTACTGGTCACATACAGCTTCCGAGATTGAAATGAATAATTCATTCTGTTACTTATGTCTCTGTACTCTTGATATGCCTCCTAAAGTGGTATCATTGGTGATCGAAGGAATTTATCTCAGTCTTATGTTCTTTATTTTATTTTTTTTATTTTTAAAACAATCTTATTTTACATAGCAATCCCAGTACCCTCTCCTTCCCTTCTTCCTGCTCCCCTCACTTTCCTCCCACCCAAACACCCATCCACTCCTTAGAGAGAGTGAGGCCTCCCACAGAGAGTCAGCAAAGTTGTCACATCACCACATTGAGCAGGACCAAGACCCTCCCACTGAATCTAGGCCTAGGAGCTCCTGCAGGCCAGCCCACCCTTTTCCACAGCATGATGAAGTGTCAACTTACCCCAGAGACATCAGTTTCTTCACAACGTCCAAAGTGACTTGCTGTGGATCTGGCAGGGTCAGTCTTGTGTTCTAAGTGAGAGTTCTTTCTGACTAGATGCTAAGTTCAGTCCTGTCTAGGCATCTAGAGCTGCGCCTGTCCTGGTTGGCTTACCTTAAACATTGGGATGAAGCATCTCTCCCCATTTTCACCTCATGGAGTCTAAGTGTGTGAAAGGCATCATCAGTATCTTTATTCTGCAGCTGCAGAATACAAGACAGAAAGCATGTTGAGCAAAATGCTCACAGTCATAGGACTGGATAGTGTTGGAGTTGGGAGTCATTCTAAAGATCACAGGGTTCCTAAGCAGGAGGAAGAGTGGGTGCCTTATCTTTTAAGATGGTCATTTTTGTAACTATTTCAAAGAAGACACTGGACAAAATGAGACAGATACATCCTCCAAAGGGAGACACCACAAAAGTTTTGTTCATGAAAGTCTCTTAGGACCTAGTACAGTGCTTAGCACAATAAAGTTTTTTAGTCAATATTTGATGGAGGAAAATGTTGGGAAAACTATCGAGAAAGAGGACTGGAAAAGAATAAGGGAAGATGTAC